GGTTGCATTCTACTGAGTTTGTCCGAATTAGGTAAGTATAAACAATGCCAATCTTTTGGAGAGGGTAAGCTAGAATATCCACTTTTTGTTAAAAATTTTGGTGAGGTTGGAAAAATACAAGAGGGAGAAAAAACACTTGAAACTACCAAAAGAATGTAGGTTTTCTTCTACTAAAATCAACTATCCACCGGAGCCTACATGATACTAAGTCTTGTCAGTAAATGATAAACTCTAAGCTTGTTAGCAAGTAGTGTATGAGAACTACTTCTAAACGACAAGTGCCATACCTGCAGTTAGTGAGTGATAAACTTTGAGGCTATTAGCAGGTAGCGTATGAGAACTATCTCTAAATAACAGCTGCTAGCTTACAGTTCCTTTTCCTATGTCTTACGTGAAAGTCATTAACTTTACTCTAGTATACTATATTTTTTTCTAGTAAAAAGTTTTTTAAAAATTGTGGTCCAAATGATTGTATTTTTAATAAAGTTATATATATTTTTTATACAAAATTAATAGAATTTTAACTAAATTTATAAGTATTTACTAGTAAAAACTTTAAATTAAAATTGTTTGTAATATATTGAATTAATTTTAATAATTTTAGTATTATTATATTAAAAAAGTTTATTTTTATAACTTTTGTTAAGAATTTAAAAAAAATTATATAATAAAAAAAAATTTAAATAGTATTCAAAGCTTCTAAGATAGCTAATATTTACTATATAAAACTAGGTTCAGTTAAAGAATTCTAGGTAAACAAACAATTTTAGCAAATCAAAAATACTCTTTATTTGTACCAAACTTTTTTTATATACTGCGCAAGACTTCATTAACTATAGAAAATTATTTTAAGTATAATTAATTTATAAAATTTCTAAATAATTGTCTCTAACTAGTGTTACACTTAAGTATAAAGTACTACCGGTAGTATGCCTAAATCCTATCTATTAAATTATATATATGGCACAGCTTTGACTGACTTTCAATCTGTTGATTTATAGTCTAGTCAACTTGAAATATCTATATTATTACAAACATATTTAATTTATTTAAAAAAAAAATTTAATTAGATAAAATAATACAAGGTAACTAATAAATATTTTCAATAGTAAAGTAACCTTGAAGTTTGAGGTTTGTTATTGTCTAAAAGAAGTTTTTTAATATTTATTTTTTTTATAGAGCCTTGTTAATACCACCCCTATTTTTGTTAATAGCACCCCAAATCTAAAAGTGCCTCAGAAGAGGTATTTCTATTAAGTAAATTTATTTGTTATTAAAATTGGACTAGTAGTTTCTAAGATATATATATCTGAAGCAGTGTTCGAAATTTCAGGCTTAATTGCTGTTCTCATAAGAACAGTATAATAACTATGAGCGTTCTCAATTTGCTGTTTGTGTTTTTATTTATGCTCACTAAAAAAAAAAGTCACATACTAACTACCTAATAATATAACATTTATCATCTAAGTATTATATTATTCATATATCTACCACTTACGAGAACACTATTTTTATTTTACTATTCTCAAAAAATTTTTAATAGTGAACAGTAAAAAATTTTTACTATTCACAAACTTATGATCATGTTCTCATGAGAACTCCGAGAACACTAATTTTAATTATTTTACTACTATTAGAACCAGAAGGGCCTACCCAAAATTTAATAAAGTGCTCTGGAAAAGGTATTGTGATTAAGTAAATCCTTGGTTTGACCTTAATAAAAGTTGTTCATCAGGCCATTCCGGTTCTAATAGTAGTAAAATCATTTAAATTCGGCCAAGAATATAATCCACAAATTCTGGCAAAATTAATGTCAGCCGGTATTATCAATTTTTTTAGAGCTTGAAAATTTTCTGAAATTCTACTTTTGAACTAGCAGATAAAAAACTAATTTTTGGATTCCTCTTGAAATGCTCTAGCATTACAGAGCAATTTTTTATTTTTATATATTTTAAGGCGAAATTAGCAATACAAAAACACAGTTAATATTAATAAAAATAATAGCGATAGAACAGGCCAAGAGAAATCCAAAAATCACAGTTTCACCTGCATAGTAGTGGTAAATGATCAGCAAAAAATATATGATATCACACACCCCAATCGTACTAATTGTCACCGGCAGTGACAGTGCCCAGATTTTATTTAGTTGTATTTAGGGTTAGAAAAGTCATAATATATAGTAAAATTGGACAATAAGTATTTTTTGTTAAGATGCAGAGGTTGATTTCATAGGTATAATTTTGAGTTGTCTTGTTTTGAAAATTTTGAGTTCTTGTAACTGCCGGCAACAAATAGATTTGCACATATTTTATTAACGATAGCTAAACATCAATTTCATATTTAATAATAACAATAAAATTTAAATACAGAAAATAAGTTATTTTTATTTTTATTTTTTTACTATACTCGATCTTAAATTTTAATTAATTGATATATAGTTACTTTAAAGCAAAATATGAAAAATATTTTACTGAATACATGTCACTTAGTTATACTAATATCTAGCTATAACGATATAATAAAATCTTTCTATACTGATATTTTTTTTCAATTTTAATATTAGATATCAGTATAATTTATCATAACAGTATTTAAAATTTTTTACTAATGCAATCATTGAATTTTAGAGAATTTATTTAATAACTAGTGAGAAAAAATCAGACATAATAAGAATTATAATATTATTTAAGTCGACACTGTTTAAGGAAAGCACTAATAAGTACCCTTATATTTAAGGTCCAACTTTAATTGATGAAAATTTTTTTAATTATTTGGTTCATAATCCCGATATTTCGGATAAAGGTCGATTTTGTTTAGGTGCTTCTAATTGGTTTTTCGCATGAGGTTTGAATTATTCCAATTAGAAGTACAAAACCTACGTTAATTTCTCTTCCAGACCTTTTTTTAATTATTTCATTATTAATATAATAAATAAAAAAACATAAAATGATAAGATTAAATTTTTTTTATAATTAGCAATTTTATATTATAACTGAAATTTTAATACATATAAATAAATACCTTATTTATCCATCTTAATTCCAGTTCCATATTCGCCTGAAAAATTTTGAAGAATAAATGCCTTTTTTATCAATAACCAGATCAGAATATTCATAAAGTACTTGCAGAATTTTGATGATAAATTAATACTTTATTTTCATACATTCTAGTCCAATCGCCAATAACTAAGCAAAATCTTCCATCCATATTGTTCATACCCGCTGGTTTTTAATAATAGTTGAATAACTTATTTTTCATGTTCCTAATTCCAGTAACCAAATCAGAATCTTCTATTTAAAATTGAATTAAATAACATTATAAAATTAAAACTTACAGTATATAAAACAAATAAATAATTCAAGGGTTGAGAGTGTCATTTCCTGGAGCCGGATTCAACGCTAACTTCCGAAAAGCATCTTGGATTACTTCAATCTTTTTTTACAAAATTGATAAATTAATATGTTCTTGATGGCAACTGAAAAAAAATAAGTCTAATGATACAGTATTACCTTGTATTACATTGTGCAAATATGCGAACCATGTATTCTTCATATTGTACAGGGAAAAGACCATTAGTGATTGAACGATAAATACATCTCCACCATTATAAAATCTAACAGAATCCACTAGATACTCATCACATTTTGCGTAATTACATGTGGAAATCAATAATTACATTATATTCATGTAAAGATACATCGTCATTTTGATGGTTATAATTTCACGTTCATTAATCATCTAACAAAATTAACATTATGTGAAAAGGTTTCGTAAAGATGTCTTTGAATGAAATAAATATATACATACTATACTTTCATCATATGGCCTTTCTCGTCTTTCAGGACCTAATACTCATTTACCAATTTGTACAGTACGGGACAGCAAGAAACATCTAATTTTTTAGCAGTTGTTTAATGTCTTATAACTTTTTAACAAATAATTATTTTAAAAATCCCTTTTACAGATTTATTATTTATAACATAAACTACAAATCTGTAAGACATATTTTTAATATCTTGTTTTCTTCAAAAGTTATAAGAGGTCAAAGTTTGGTAACTTTATTAGTAAAACCAAAATTTGACGCAAAGAAATTAACCAATCATATTAATGCCAGTCATGTGCTAGCAATTTTATTGGTTAATAGATATTATTAAATTTTGAGTAATCCATTATATGTTGCAAAATACTACTGCACAATGTGCCAAATTTACAGACTTACAACCACACCTAGCAGTTGATATTATCATTCTTACCAGGACATACTGTTCTTTTTAAATGTGCAACGATTGTATTATGTAATAACCACAATCAATAAGGCACGTACTGAATTTGTGAGTAAACTAAATCTCTTTCGATTCTGTGATCGACATAATCTGTCACATGCATTAATAAGAATGACAAAATGGCACAATAATTTATTAAAGTTTAGATAAGCATACATGCAAATCATGTAATTAAAATAGACAATATAAAAGGCAAAACCATTACAATAATAAAAAAGGTTAGCATTAGACTTTTCTTTAAAAAAAATCAAATGTACGCACATATGAACATACCTATGTATTCAGGTAATTCGTATATACATACTAATGTTATTTAGTTAACATTACGGTAAAGATGTTGCATACTAGTGTTATAAGGTAAAGGCATAAATACTGTTTAATTTCAATGCATATGAAAGTCAAATAATATAATTGTTCAGTCAAATATAAAATAGGCAAGTGATTATATATTGGATTTTTCTTCTCACATAGAATCGAATAAATTCTCATATAAAATCTTGAACTTATAAAATTTTGAATAAATGATGGATAGTAACTTTTTGATTTAAATCCTATTTCATAATATTAATAATATTTGCTGTCGCAGTTTGTAGCCTGGGATTTTTTTTTACCAGATTAAATAGGTCACAATGTAGGCTGTATATAAAGGCTTAAAAAAAAATTAGCAAATTCTATCTTATAATATTTCATACTGTACCTTTTTTTTCTTATTTTGTAATGACAAAACTGAAAAGCACTAAAAAGGCGCAGCAGACAAAAGCTGTGCTAGCTCATTCTGCACATATATCTTATTCTCTTGTTGATCTTGATTCAAGTAAGGAATATGTTGATTCCAATGATAATTCAAAAGAAAGTTCAGATGACAATTTTATGGAGCTGGACGACCTTGGTGATGCGAATTTAATAATTGAAACTTTGACAAGGTTCTGAAAAAAAAGGTGCCCTGCAACTTATGTTGGGAATTCTAAATGTACTAGGTAAAGAAAAAATAAGGCCTTCAAAGAAGCGGCTATAGAAAGTTATAAAATTACTCAATTTTTTTCTAATGCTCTACCAATGGTAAATAATGATCAGAGTTATAAAAACTTTCAAGACCAGAATAATCAGGTAGCAGACTATTAAAAAAAAAAAAAAAGTTTAATGTTTGATATAAGATTAATGATATTAATAAATAGGGTGATGATGAATTGAACAAAGAATTGAACAAAGAATTAGACAAAAAGAAAAAAAAATCTGCAGTGCAATTGAATTTATAAAAGGAGTAATGGATGACGAAGTGCTTTCAACAAGCGAAGAGGCTCATTATTTGACAGTTCTTTATTTCCTTTGGCTATGTTTACAAGGTCAAAAAAAAATTTAACCATCAAAAACTGTCACAGGTATTGTTAATGGTGGGCTATAGCTTGCATGATACATTAGGAAGTGGGCAAACAATTGTATGAGAAATAAGTTAATTGAGTCAGATCTTTGAGGAAGATTCCCTTCAAAAAGCCTACTTCATGATGAGTTGGTTTCTCTTCAAGTGACCTCTTATCTGCACTCTAAAAAATTTACTATAGACTCTATTATGGTCAAAAGTTATTTTGAACAAGAAATTCTTCCTCTGTTGAATATTGAATCTGTGCAACAAATTTCAGTTAGAACTGCACGTTGGTGGATGCACAAGCTTGGTTTTCATTTTCAATGATATTAAAAAGGTGTATACGTAGACGGGCATGAGCAACTTGATGTTGTCGAATATCGTGAAAAGTTTCTCCAGGAGGTTGCCCAGCTTGAATGATTTATGTCCAAGTGGGTCGACCCAGAATGCAAAATAAGAAC